TATATATATATATGGACTAGTTCAAATAAAAACTAGGTCTGGTATGAGAACCGTGAGAACCATATTTGATGCTATTTTCAATTGTGTATGATGTTATTTTTAATATTGCATGGTGCTATCAATTTTCACACATGCTAATATAAATTTGTGTTGCTATTTTTATAAAATACATCCAAGTTAAATATATAGAATGTGTTTCAAGTGAGAACCAAGTCCTAACGTGAGAACCGTGAACCACTATTTTTAATTTTATGTGGTGTTATGATTGATTTAGTGTTATTTTTAACTAGGATGCATTTTATAAAAAATAGCAATAAAATTTTTATTAGCATTTGTTGTATAAATTATTTCACAAAATTAATATATTTTTGAAAAAAAAAATAAGAAAAATTTTATTCAATCAATTGGGTGATTGAAATAAGTTATAACCCAAATTGATTAGATTGCTTTTAGGTGATATTTAAAATAATTCAAAATCATGACACAACTAGGATTGATCTTTGGTCACGGGTCAGTTTGGAAAGGCCAAACTGATTATTGAAACCAAATTGAAATTGTTATATTAAAAATACTTTATTACGATAAACGTAATGTAATCCAAGCTCATATAATAATTTTATGAATCATTTTATTAATATTTATGTAAACAAAATGATATTGCACTACAAATTGGTAAATCAAAGTTTCTCAGAACCGAACCATCACCAAACCGATCATGTTATTTATTCAATACATTATTGATTAGACCAAGATTTAATTTATTAATATTAATTAATATTTATTTTATTTAAATATATATTTTTATTCATATTAAAAATTATTCTAAATGTGACAAAATTTATTTAAAAATTCGCATAAATCTTAATAGTTCGACCGACTGGTATTGATAAATTCACAAACAAACATTTTATTCAAGCAAAATAGACCGATCAATAAATCAATTCGCGGTCTACTTGGTCAGACTATTCGGTCCAGTTCGATTCTGAAAACAATAGGTAATTTGTTATATACATATTTAAATTATAATACAATCGTAGTATTTTTCACCAATCACGTTTAGTATAACTAACCAAGAAAACTTGAGTATTAAACACGAAACCAAAAACAAAAAGGGTTAACATATAAATAACTTAATGTGCTTAGGTACTAGCGGCTCCAGCTGTTGTTTGGCATAACTCTTTGCTATTTCTGTCAATTTTAATTCTTCAGGATCAACTGGCTCATAGGCCGGACGACACAGAGATTGGGTATCAACAATGATCTCCTTAAGCGCGACACAATTCTCCAACAAGTAGTTGACTAATTCAACATCACTCGGACAACCATAATAACCTAAAAACCGAAAAACGTTCAAGTGCTGGTGCAGTGGAAACTGCTTAACTCCCTTCTGAATTTCTCTATTTGACCTTTCAACATCAAACCATTGTTGCTGCAAATATAAGTGCAAGTAAAATAAAGGTCAAACATTAATCTAAGATAA